TTCTGATAACTCTGCTCATGCTGCAGAGCATACGTAAATCATGAGTGAGCCCAACTATTTCCTATGAAATCCTGTTCCAGACTGACCTCATGCCTCTGGCAAGCCTTCACTCACCCAACAAACAACAGTCCCTTCCCAAATAGCCCAAGGTCCCTTCACTGAGGAAACGCAATGCTGCAAAGGAAGAGTCAGATCCCAGCTTTAGATTTCCATGTAGGAAGCTGTCTCATGCACAGACAAGGTGTGGAGTCAGCTGGACCAATGTAGTGTTGAGGTTTGTGTCCAGATCCTGTGCAGAGCAAAGAAATTAAATGATCAGATCCTTTAAGAGCCCTTCAGGAACTACCTACTTAACCAACCCCTCTACTCGGGGGTTGGACTAGATGATCTTTAAAGGTCCCTTTCAACTCAAACCATTCTGTGATTCTGTGATTCGTATTACTGTCACAGAGGTTTTGCAGTAAATCATACAGCACTAATGGTCACCAAACTTTAACCATGGAAAATTGTTTTAATGCTACCTCAATGCATTAATGAATGATCCATTAATTAATTCAAATTATTGAACATTGGCCTTGCCTTCCTGCTAGGCTAGAATGACTTCATGCCAAATCCAAACAGGAGAGTGGTGTTTAAGCCATCTCTGAAATCATGATGGCCATGAGGACCCGAGATACCTGTGGGCCAGCAGCAGCCAGCGCTTATTTGCTGCAATGACACCAAGCAAAAGAGAAAGCATGAGGCTGCTCCAGGTTGGAAAGATCTTTGTGGTAAGAGGGAGCAGGTCCCTTTACAGATCCAAACCATCATCGCATCTCACCCAGAGGAGACCTTCAACCTTGAAGCTCCTTTGTACTGATCCTTGGCAGCCCCAGGAACAAAAGCAGATTTGTAGCCACCTGCTGGCCATGCTGCTGCCGCAGGTGCTGGCGCCTGGGGCACAGACAGAGGAGAACAAGTTTCTGATGCATCTGTGCTTTTTAATTTTCCATGGTAGTCAGTAGAGCCTGGAAAGCTTTTACATCCTTTCTTTCTGCAAAATACTAGATTATTGATTCTATACTAAACCAAACAAAAAATCTACCTGGATTTTTTATGAAGAGGCTCCTAATGTAGTAAATCACTTGATACAGGAATAAATTCACTATAGTGTTAATCACTTAATTGGCCAGTAAGCCAGTGATACCCACCAAGCAATGGTGAGAAACTACAGCTGTTTTGAACACAGCAGGAATCCATCTCCATACGAGAGCTGAGGAGTGACTAGTTACACACAGGAAAGAGTTGAGATGGGATGTTTTATATTCCATATTGAAGACAATGTCCAATGCCTGGAAGCTGAAGCTCGGTGCACTCAGGCTTAAAATATGCATCAGTTTCTCAGCTTGGTGGGAGATTAAACACTGAAAGAACAGGAAAGTCTTTAAAATGAGATCTTTCTGAATGGCATGATTTTATCTCCATCCAGGGAAAAAGTCCTTTGCAAGTGCAGGATCACATCAGCCTTGCTGCATCCCAGGAGAAGAGCTGCACATAGCAGATGGATGGAAAGAAATCAAGTGTCACTAGAAACTCGCTGAGCACGTCAAAAATAGAGGTAAAATGAGTAAGAAAGGGACTGAGATCTCCTGAGCTCAGACTTTCCCGTCTCAAAACGCACAGGGATGCTCACGATGCAGAGCCTCGCATACGACCTTAATCTCACCACACTGGCAGAAGAAAGCTCAGTGCACTCAGCTCTGCCCCATAGAAGCCTGGCTCCCTGGGGAAGCTGAATCTCTGGAAATCACTGAGACTTCAAAAAATGGTGGATGATAACCTTAATTCACAGCCAAGGGGAACCGCAGCACTGATTTTAATGGAAGCAGAATTAGATCAACTCCAGCTAGTAGGGAAAATCTTCCCAAATAATTATTTTTATAATGCAGATCTCTATGGTACCAGCCACCAACACATTGTTAACCATTTCCATATAGGAGTTAATTAAAATATCAAAAATCCTGCAAGGGAGGAAGCGTTCTTTCCTCCCGGTACAGAGCAGTAAACAAGGAGGTGAGAGTTGAAAGGACTCACCCTTGGTCTCCCCGAGCATTGCAGCAAACAGGCACACTCTTAGCTCCATCCCCTGCCTCGGAGAAGAGCCAGCCCCTCGCACTGTCCTCAGGGCCAGGCTGGGGAAATACAGGGCACGTTATTAAAAAGGGAAGAATAGCTCCTACCTAATAACAACTCCCATCCCTTTTTAAAATGACTTGGGGATAAAGTGTGACACTGAAGCAATATAGATGGGAGGCGAATTAAAAATAAACCCCACAGCCCTAAGGTGGTGAGGATTAGCCAATTATACGTTCAGGAAACTGTGTTAATTAGGAGCTTTTCAAGAGAAGAGTCAAAGGACTTTGCAAATACAGATAGAAACCGATTTTAAGAAGCAGTGATAAGTCACAGTGTTGGAGAGGCATCAGCAGTGCAATGTCCTCTGCTGGCATCTGCAGTTACTACAGGGGACGGCTCCAGCCGAGGCTGTGCTACACCAGCGCCAGCAGCCACCCGCCACCGACAAGTGCAAGCCAGCGATTAGTGTGATTGATTTTTTGCGGAATATTATTATATTAAAGTGAATAATCATGTAGCCAGGACTGGTAAAGGATTATTCCCTACATAATAGTCATAGCTCTTTGTGAGAGTCCAAAAGCACCTGGGTCATCAGATCGCTCAGAAGTGGCCCATCATCAGTGGCTCAGGGAGGAGGAATTGATTTTTCCTTTTTCTTAATGACAATGTGTAATGCAGCAGCTTTATGCGCTAGTCAACAGAGACCTAGGCTGTTTAAGAGGATTTGATAATAGCTCACACTTGAAGCAGGTTTTTTTTCCCCAGGCAGAGGGAAGTGCAGAGCAGAGAGTGGAAAAAGTCACAATTAATTTGCTTGTTCTTTAGATATGGTTATGGTCATCTCCTTTCCTGCTTAAGTCAGGGAAGCTCAGAACATGGATGTGAATTTGTTTACGAGCATCGAAATGGGTTCCTTTAAGTGTTACATGTGCCTTCTTAAAAAGGGCACATGAAAGGCATTTAAGAATTAAAAAAAAAATCTATGAGACTGACCAGAGCTGTTTTGGTTTATCCCCAAATGAACACTAACTTTGAGGTAATCCTTGAAGTTTATTGCACTAACCAAGAAAACCAAGACCTGTAAAATGAAAGAGCCAATATTACCTGTGCAGGCAAAAGTGCCTTCTCAGCAGAGACTTGTTCACTCTGTGCTTGTCCTAGACCATTATTTTCACTTCCCTGAGATGCGCTCATGAGGAATACTACATGGAGCAGACATCAGTTTTGGTGAATTGTACTGCATGGGGCTGTGAGTTGGAAACAAGGACTGCAAACACTGAGCTGTGACAGATGTAACATCCCCCTCACACATGCTCCTCATCCTAAATGGCTGTGCAACGTGGAGAAAAGTGCTCCTAAGAAGCATCAGAGGGAAAAAGCTGCCAAATGACCACAGGCACAGGAGATGGAGTCCCAGAGCCCAACAACTGCTGACCCCCTGCCAATGCTCCAGCCTGTCCTTGCCAGCAGCTTGTTCATGTAGTGACACACCAACAACAAGTGGACATGATTTTTGACACAATAAACCCCAGAGACCTGAGCGGAAGCTTCCAAACTACTCTGGAGCACAAGTGCAACTGGTCCAAGTAATAAACCTTGCAAAGGCTAAGCCTTGGTGTGATGCTCAGGGCACTGCACAAAGGCTGAGCGTGGTTACAGCATTTGCCGTCTCCTATGGTAGCCGGGGTAAGACAGCGGGGTTTTGTCACTCCGTGTCCCTTGGCACCCCATGGAGCGCACCCAGCTCCACCAGCCTGTCTTATGGGTCTTGAGGGGTTACGAATGATGCCCAGGGGTTCAGACCGTCAGCGCCCACAAGCATGAACTGGGGTTTGTCCTGAAGTTTAATCACTTCATGAAAATGAAACATTGAATATTTCACTAGGATGTCTCCCATCTGTTAAACATCATCCCAGAAAGTTTGGTGACACTTTAAATGAAGCTGTGAAGAGATACGTTTGTTTTAGATGTAATTGGACAGCTGTTTTATTATGAATTAATGAACTATGATGATTAAAAAGAATCCAGTTTTAGCAAACCATGTATTAACAATTACTCCCGACTAAAATCACAACTAAGCAAGTGCTAGAGAACTTTCATGACAATGACTGGAAGCAGAAGATGAAAAAACAGTGAGGTGCAACAGGACAAAAGGTGCCTCCAGGCCTGTGCTGGGCATGGGTTCCCTGGGCTGCCCCGCAACAACCAAACCACTCCACACGCCTGTGCTACCACTCCACATCACTGCCATCTCCTCTGGCCCAAAGCCCCTTTTGGCCCAAACCAGTCATCAGGGTCGGCTCACACTCCTCCATCTTCCCAGTCCCTCTTCTCCCCCAGCCGTGGGACCCTGCGAGGGGCTGGGGAGGGAGAGGGGACAGTGATGGCAGCAGGCTCAGAGGTAGAGGTAACTGACCTCTTTGTGCTTGCAAAACATATTTCAGACTCCTTTTCCCCCTGCTCTGGGTCACTTTGGCCAAGGCTGTTTGCGCTAGAGGCATCGCACAGAACAGGCTGCTCTCTGATGTAGGGTCACATCCTTCCCTGCTGCGAGGAGACAGCCCCACAGCTGTGCTGAGCATCAGCAGCACCACAAAAAGCTGATCCTGAGCTGGGGAGTCCTGCATCCGTCCTTCCCACACTTTCCCATTAAGAAGAGATTTCTGTATTTCAACAGAACCCAGTGCCAAGGACCAGAGGCCACAGAAAGCAGCTGTTGGAGTTTCCATAGGAGTTGTCCAGTTTGTATGGAGCAGTTTTTAAGCAGTGAAGTCTTTGCCCTGAGGGTTTGAGTGAAAAGGCTCCAAAGAGTTAAATGAAGACAGGTACATAGGCCATGTGTGCAAATCACTTATCTCCTGCTGTTCAAATAAATCTATTCCCAGTCATTGTGGCTTCCCAGCAGCTGCCTCTTCATCTTTCTCCACTTCAGCCCTCCATTGGGCCTTCTTTTCTGTGTTCAACCTCAGCAGCGTGTGATCCCTTTTAGCAGCCTTGAAAAGAAATGGTGAAAATCATCGCATGCATACATTTCCCACCACTAAATTTCCCCACATTTGCACCACTTGCTTTGGCACCCCACTGTCCTTTTCGATATTTTGCAGAGACAGAATTTAATGTGTTCCCTTGTTTTACCAAATTTTCAGCATTTGCAGTTCTAATTAGCAGGAAAATTACACTGTAAATTGTTTACAGGTGCGCTGGGACATGCAAGTCAGGCTGGAGACACTCCGTCCCTGCCTCCTTCCCCAGGGAAGAAGCAAGTGTCACAGCTCTTGGTGGCCATGGTGGCATGCAGGCTAGGTGGGACCGCGGGACCGCGGGACCCTCATGGCCCACAGATGCAGAGCAGGACCAGACACCATTGACATTGTCTGAGCTACTCCACAACCTTTGGACCAGCCTCTTGCTGAGATGCCATGATACAGAGCATTGCACTGCATGGGTTTATGGCAAAGTGTGTCAGAAGGAACACATTAACCAGCACGTGTGCTTCCCCATGCCAATCTCTCCTCCGGAGAATGGGGTGATACAGATCCTGGGCAAATATTGCTTATATGGACTTATTCTCAAACCTGTCTGCCAGCCAGGTGCTTATTTACAAAGAAAGCATACATAGACCATACATTAAGTGGATCAGTTCACCCAGAAACAATACTCACTTCTTTGCCTGTGATTACCATGGCCAAACAGCCCAGCAAGGTCAGTGCAATCATGATGTAGCAAACCTTTATCCTAACGCTGCTCCTTGCTGCGTCGAGGACCTCAGACCTGCGGAGGACAGAGCAGAGTTTCCATCCTGCAGCAGCATGTGTGAAATGAGATCATGGGGAGCTGGGTAATGAATCCTCAAGTCTTCCAGCAACTGCCTATTAATGTACAGTGTGTTTCAGCCTTCTCTTTCTGCAAGTGCTTAGAAAAGGACTCAAAAAATTAGCCTATGGAGGAAACATTTAGCCACCCTCCCACACACGTGGGGTATTGCTACTTCCAAGAGTCATCAGTAACAACAGGAATAACAAATCCTGCTCTCCTGCTTTCTTTTATTGCATATGAGAGTGAACACCTGAAAAATGACAAGGAGAGGAAAGTCTTTTCATCATGATAATGGAATTACGAAGGGCCCAGCTTTGGGTGTTGGAGGGTGCGGGATGCTACACAGCACCAGGAAACACTGGGGCCGTGTCACCAGGGCCAGGCAATGCCACCCTCAGTGGAATAAAAGCGCATGCATGACATTTTGGTTAAGAGCAACAGAAAGTTTTCACACAGCAAAGAGGCACAGCAAGCGGTGACTGGGTCTGTGGCCACATGTCCATCCCAGCTGCATGTGGTGCTTTGCAGCCCTGTCCCGCTGCAGCGTAGCCCTCTGCCAGGCAGCTGGCGCCAGCCCCACAAGCATCTGCCTGCAGCGGGAGGCTGAGCCTGAGCTGGAGTGGACAACTGCACCATCCATCTGGAGTTGTCTTCCCAAGCAGCTGAACAGCCACAGCCCTCGCTGGGAAATCTCCACCACCTTCCGTGAGTGACTCACGGCATTTATCCGACAATTCACGCTTGCAAGAGATGGCAGCATGGCAATGAGTCATTCATGAAATCGTATCTGGCCATAGATTTATGTACACCTGCAAGGGGAAGGCCAGCTGGAGGAGCCCCCAGGACGTCACAAGTCAGGAAGCATTAGGTCTCCAAAACTGAGTGACAACCCTTTAACAAAATACCTCGACAAGGAGGTGAAGCCATAGCCCTGACCCGAGGAACTTGTTGCAGATGTCTGTCACCAAAGCTGTGCAAAGCCCCAACTTCTTTTTAAAATTTCTGCAGCATTATTAATTGCTAATCAATAAAAACTAGCAAAGCATGCAAAAATCCAAAGTGGGTGATCTTTTACCATGGTGACTTCTGACTTACAAAGCCACTTGTCTTGCAAAAGACATCAGCTTAGTCTGAAACTTATGGTATCTAAAACAAGTGAATCCAGTTTACTTTACAGGGCATGACAAAAAGTTCATGTTCGCAAAAATTCAGATTATTTTTGGACACCAGTAGCAGCAGGCCCCATCAGCATGGAGGAGCACTGACCGTCACCATATGAGCACAATTCTGGGTAATGCAGACTGGGGTCTCAATCCGTTTGTTTACATCCAAAAGCATCATTCAGACAGGTCTACTTACGATATGTGCTTGGGAATGTCCTCCTCCTTTTTAAAGCGTCCTGCCCATACTAACACCTTTTTATCAAAATTTGTAGGCCTTCTGTCATTTTTGAAAGCTTTGTAACCTGTAAGAGATTTTAGAAAAGAAAACAATGAGTTAAGCTTAAAGAAGGGAAGAGGAAAAAAGCTGTTGTTACAGGGGGAAAAGGATTGAAAGTTCAGAATGGCACTTTTCTGTTCTGTGAGAGCCAAATGTACTTTCTAATGTCACAAGGACTCAGTAGCTGGTGTGTGATGCTTTGTAACATTTGCAGCTTATTTCATTTTTTGCCTTTAGTTTAGGTAGGTTTTAAACTAAAAATCTCTTCTAACCTTCCTGATTAAGGGGGGAAAGGATGTGGTGCTGAAGTCACCCAAGCCTGCAGCATGCTCTCACACTGCTAGCATCTTGCTTTTAAATGGCCCAACTAGTGAGTTAAGCAAACTGCCAGCAGCACTAATAACTCCTCGACAGCATCTCCTTCTAAAAGCGCTGACGGAGAGACAAGGTCTATTAAAATACAGCCTGGTGGGAGACTGGCAGTTGTTCTCATGCAAGCTGGGTACCACATTACTGTACTCTAATGATGATACATTACACCCCACCAGACTACCATGGTGATGCCATTAGCATGCTGTCACTGTAAGCACAATGAGAAAGGGACTCTGGCTCCTCTTGATGGAAACAAGCCCAATGACAGGCCATGATGAGGGCAGTGGCAGAGAGACCCTGGAAAAATTGGGTAAGCAATGGCTAGCTCAAATCCTGGCTTTTGTATTGCACACCTGTACAGGTGGTCATCGTGAGGTAGCTGGGACTGCTCACATACCCAGGTAGGTGCACTCAAGATGCTAGCTTACGGTGCCCTGTGCTTGCAAATGTGGGACTGGTATTTAGAAATGCCCTATGGATGACCAGGGCATGCAGGAAGGGATGGACATGAAGATGCCCCTAGTCTCGGTGTCCTGCACTCCCTTGCGCTTGCTGGGTTGCTGGTGCTTGGCTGAAAGGAAATCACTGCTGCTGCAGATCAGGGCACAGGGAGCGCCTCTTCCTGCCTGTGTTGAGGTGGTGAAATTACATTAAGTGCCTTGGCCCCAGGCCTGCTCATGCATGCCAGGACTTGTGAATGGCTGAAAAATCCCAGGTGTAAATCTGGGCACCCAGACCCCCAGCTAAATTTAATCTCCTGCTTCTCCTATTTCTCTTACAGAGTGCCAGCAAGACCAGGAGAGCTACATCTGAAATATCAGCAAGTGTCTGAATCAGATCTGCAGCAAGCAGTAGGATGGATCACTAAAAGGACAGGCTCCATCCCAGGAAAGACAAGGGCAAAGCCCCATGCTGGAGACCCACAGCCACCCCGCAGGAGCACAGGCAGTCCCATGCAGTCCAGCCTTGCTAGGGTGAGGAATCTGCAAAGGCACAGCCAAGGAGGTGGTAGCACAGATTAAAAAGAGAAATTATCTCTTTGGATAATCAGGGAGCTTGCCCATGTGGGAGCTGCCCATGGCTACTACCTGCCAGGTAAGCCAGGGCACTGCCTGCCATAAGCATGCACAGTTGTGGATGTAATCTGGCAGGGAGCACCGGGGGGAGCAGAGGGGTGCAAGTCTGCCACATGCACCAGTCCTGCACTGGTCCTCCTCTGGAAACCTGGCAACTGGGTACGAGGAGGAACATACATTTATTTTTTTAATTAACAGGTTCCCTGACATGAAGTATCAGTTTGTATTTGCTGCCATAGGAGGAGGATTTTTTTAATGCAAAAAACTTTATCCCTGTGCACTGTGCTAGTCAGAGTTCTCAATGTGGTCCATGTCTTGGGAGGATCTGTAACCCCAGGAGATGCAGCACTGCAGTAACACAGCCACAGACGAGAACAAGGATCATTTTCTTGCCCTTTCCTGCAAATACCCCTTCCCTCCATGCTGCAGCACGAAACAGCGACCAAAGCCTTTCTACCCACCTGGATTAGCCGCCTGCAAAGCTGCATCCTGAGCGCCCTTTGCTTTGTTGCCGACGGCTCTGGTGGGGTGCAGGACTGGCCAAGCCACCGGCCGCCACAGCCCGGGGCTGCGCCCCAGCAGCCTCCCCAGCATCCCACCCCGCCGGCACTGGGCCGCTGCCTCCCCACCGGCCTGGGAGCACACAGGGGAACTGGCAGGAACCCAGAAGGCTGCTTCTAGGAGTTATTAACATAAAACTACCCCTTCCTGTAAGAAGGGAGTACCACGCGTTTCCACCCTGGCTGCCAACATTTTTTGCTTGCGTCACGATGACTAGTTAAATTTATCGCCTGTGTTTACCAAAATGACACACCTTCCGAGCAATGTGGGCAGAGATCACCGCTGCGGCAGCTCACGCCCAGCCCAGGCTCTGCCCCAGGCTCCCTATCCCAAGGAGCTGCTCAGGAGAGCAATGGGTATTTACATTATTTTCTCAGTCCTTACTATGGTAGGACTAAAGTAGGACAGCGTGCTATATTTCTCCAAAGATAGGCTTTGTGACTGCTAATTACCACAGCCAGCTAAGCTGTTAGAGTTCTTAATTGTTCTCAGCTAAAAAATAATCTTGCAAATCAGTTGCGTTAAACAGACTTTTTGAAGAGGAGCAGCGTTTCCCCTATCTCAGAATAAATGTGGTTTGGCAGAAGGAAACTAAAGCCAATGTTTGTGGTTATAAATGCAGATGGGGAATCCATCTCACATCCAGACTGCAAACTTTCCTGGCAAAGAAATATGTTTCAGATATATTTCAAGTTTAAATCAGTAAACTAAGAAATTATGTCAAAAACCTCAGGTGGTGTAGTATTTGTCAGTCAGTAAAATTGTCATTGAAACGTAGCAATACCTACAAAGTATTTGCCCTCTTTGAATTCAATCTCCACGAAGTCTGGATAGTGCTAGATGTTTTCCATAACATCAGCTGTTCTAACCAGAGAATGAACCAAAAATAATGCTATTTTATCACTTCAACATTTCTCCTGTGTTTTGCACAAAATTCGCCCTGATGGGTCAGGAAATGGAAATGCAAAATACTTGCCTCATTTGGAGCAGGGGGGTATTTGCTCTCCTTAGATATACAAGGCTCTAAAGCTGATTTACAACTAGGGAAAAAAAATCCGTTTGAAAGGGAAGAAGCAGTTGCCGAAAGAAAAATTTTCAGAACTGTTTAGTAATACTACCCAAATGCAATATTGCAGATAATCAAACTATGTCTAAGAGCAAGGAGAGGAACTGCAAGGGAATAGAGCTTGGGCTGTTGGCAGGGATATTCTTTAAGGGCTGAGAGGATGAAAGATGTGAGACAGATGCAGCTCCAGCTACCCAGCTCCCGGCCCCAAGAAAAAACTCTACCGTTTATAGACATGTTTTATGTTTTTTGAGAACATGAAGTTATTGAAACTGAGGAAAGAAGAAACTCACAGTAAGGACAAACGCAGTTTTTTCTCTTTCATGAAAGCTCCACAATGCATCCGGACATAATAGTGTTTAGCTTAATTTGCTTATAATCTGGTAAAGCAAATTGGATCAATTTCCAGATTAGGAACCCATACAGAAAATAAATGGTGGTTTGAGCTTCCAGCTGCAAACAAGCAGAAATCAGTGGATGTGATTATGCTGGAAGAAGCAGAGGGGAAACCTGGTAAAGTCACTGAGGATATTTGTGTCCTGCTCAGGATTTCCCTGGGGAAAGATGGGTGTGAGGAGGAGGAAAGGTGCATTTATAGCATGAAGTTTAGAGGGCTCAGCACCCCTAAGCATCCCCGCAGGCCCCCTTCTCACCTTGCAGAAATGTTGACGAGTGGAAAAGAGGAATTGTACACATGGACATCCCTTGCTCCCCAAGCTGGGTGGGCAGGAGGGGCTGGGGGGCAGGAGTTGGGACATGCTGCCATGATGCTCACATCGCACTTGGGGGGCTCCGGCTGTGCCGAGCATTTTTCACTTTAACATGCACTCTCCAAAATGCTTATTGCAAAAGTGACTGTCTTTACATCGTGTCTGATTATGGATTTGAAGAGAAAAAAAGAACATTTTTATTTTATCTCTTAGTTTCTCAAATGTGGAGAAAATCATGGGGGTTTTCAGGCCTCCGGTGCTTATCCACTGAGGGGTTGCCAATTGTTTCCTCTAGAAGACACACCAGCTAACAGCTGTATTAATCACATCTGCTGTGAGCAAAAAAGCACTTCAGGATTTATTATGCCAGCATTTAGAAGTGCAAAAACACAGAGGTCCTCATGAAACCACAAAGGCAGTTACTTGTTCCTGAATTTTACTTGTTTCTCGGCACCGTGAATGTTTAATGCCGGGGTGAGTTTTACTGCAGTGCACAAAAGCTAATAAAAAGCTACATACACTACTGCATTAGGAAATCAAGCTTTCCCTTGTGCACTGTGGATCCCTCTCTGGCCCACAGCATCTTGAATCCCTTCCTGAACAGCAGAGAGATGCAGAATGCTCTGGGACCAAGGTAGCCTTGTGTGCAGCCTGATGGCCTTGGTCCTCCTTAGAGATGTTTTGTGCCCAGCCCAGTACGTGCACACACACCCCTGCCCAGGTTACAAAACATCCCCATGAGGCTCATCCATTCACTCCCCTCACCAAGCCTTCACTTGGTACCCATCAGTGACTCATTAGCAGAGTGCAACCATATTATTTCATGACCATTAAGCTCACAGACAGGGAGTTTATTGTATAGCGGTAACAACATGTTCAGAGACGCAGAATTAGCAAAACTAGGCTTAAAGCACCATCTTATCCTCCTCCCACATCCTTCTGCCAGGAGGAGAGCAGGACCCCAGCTCCTCAGCAAGCCTGGATGGTACAGATAACAACTCACACACTGAGTAGCTGTACAGACGTCCCCCAGGCTTCCTCTGACCTTCACTGCAAGGGGAGAGCACAGATCTGAAGGTTTTTGAGTTACAAAGGAGCAGGCTAGCTCAGAGAGCAGAGGATGGTTCTCAGTTGTGGTGGTGGTGCAGACTCTTGTCATTTCTGTTTTCTGTGTGAGAGTGATACGTAGTTGTAACACTTGCTGCACAATGGTGCTGACACTGAAGATGGAAAACTAAATAAAAAACCTCACAGGACTCCATCCCGTTTCTGCATCATCTTCACACCCCTTCTGCCACCTCGGACTCTGCTCTTGCAGCTGACGCTGCAGCAAGGGCTAACAGCCAGTCATCCTCCCCTCCATAATGTACACAAAAACCTTTGCAGAACTGGAACTGAAACGCCACAATATAAAATCCATTGTTCTTTGATTTCTGACTGACTTTATACTGTTTGATTATTGTCAGCCTATTACAGCAATGAGAAACTCGGACTCAGGTTCTCTTCACCTGTTCTTCTTTTTCTGCTTTCAACAGCCACAGGAATGAAATAGTTTATTCCTCCAGAGGCCCCAGGTTCCTGCACATCTCTTTACATCTCTTGGTTAATTTTCATAAGATGGCACAACAAATTTTTTTGGTCATATACACAAAAGAATTCATAGGAGTATTCAATGAAAAAAAAGTATTACTCTGTTTTCACGTGCAGTGTCCTCAAAACCAAATGGCTTACCATCAGGCTCTGTTTTGCATGCCACGCAAACTTTTAACATAAGGGTTGTGATAATGAGCAGAAGATAATCTTATCTTAAAAATCTTTGCCTTCTCCCCATCTAATTAAATATGCAGCAGAGGTCTGTGTTGGTTCCTAGACGAGATAAACAAGCAGTCCTGGATGGGCTCGTGGCTCATGAAATTCTAAGTGAGTCAGGATATATTCCTCCACACAACTGTGTATTCTCCAGCCGCGCAATTTAACACAGCAAGAGCAATGAATTGCTTTGAAATGTCTCACTCACCTGCAGACTCCCAGCCCAAGAGCCCATCCCGCCTCTCCCGGGTCCCCGGGGAGCAGCACTCCCAGGGCTTCCGTTCTCTCCAGGAGGTGAGTCACATCCTCCCCATATCAGGAAATCGTCTACCCTAAGGAAACTCAAATGCAAATCCCAAGAAACTAAAAGCTCCTTAACTATTTCTCACCATGGCCAAATCAAATCAAGGGAACAATCTTACAGCCAAACCAGACTCAGAGGGTTTGTAGAGAGCTCTGAAAACAAGCACCAGCATGAGGCTTTAATCACTTCAGGACAGTCAGATTGTTTTTTTGATAATTTTGAGTGTTGTCAATAAAACAAGGCATCTGCTAAAAGAGAGCAGTGAAAATGAAGGAGTCCCTCCCCTCTTTCTGTGTTAAATTTCAGCTTTGCTTGAAAAAAAATGAAATCAGGATTCCTCTATCCAGTTACTAAAAGGTCCTGCATTTTCTACCAATATTGTCCCTATTCCTCCAAATTTAGTAGTATCAGTACGATTTTAAAAATCTTGCCTAGCAACCATAAATAAGACACTAAGCCACACTACAAAAAAAAAAAAAAACAACCCCCAAAAAACCAACCCCACACCAAAACCCAAACCAAAACAAAAAAACCCAAACCAAACCCACAAACTCCACTGACTCTGGTAAATCTTGCCTAATTTATACCATATGAGCCTTTTGGCATCAGTCTCTTAATAGGGAAAGGTAACTGATGTAACACACTTGGTATTTTCCACAAGAGGAGCAGTCATTTCCCCCAGGTGAAAAAGATCTGACCTGTTCTCTGTGTCTGCCACTAACACAAGACTGAGCAGAATTTTGCCCTGAATGTGTTGGGTCTGAGCAGAAGTGCCCAACATTACAAGAATAAGGATCTCCAAACGATCCCTATCTAGGAAGATTCATCTTCTCTGCCATTAAGCACATTTATTCTTAAGAGAGTTAAACCCCAATTAACAGCCTGGATGTATTCTGGTGTGTTCTACCTCTGGAACAGTGCTAGAACCCACTCTTACCTCTCCTGATGGTAATGGAAATGCCTACAAAAAAGGGGCATTGCTGTAACCAAGAGGACCCATAAGCCACACTTGCTTCTTGCTTTGTTCCCTTCCACCAGCTCCAGGTTTTTAGCTAAGATGAAATAGAATATTTGTTGAACACAGGAATGCAGTTATGAGTTGTCTTAATAGGAGCCAAATTCAGTGGAGCTTGTGAGCTGGACCTAGAGTCGCTAGCCTCTGCAAACAAATGCTGACAAGGGA